CTTTGTTAGAAACTTCATAGTTTAATTGAAGGTGCCATAGTAAGGAAACCAAAACCCTAAACCCTAAACCCTAAACCCTAAACCCTAAACCCTAAACCCTAAACCCTAAACCCTAAACCATCTTATTTGTTATACACCATTATTCACGAAACCTCCAATCCAAGGAGCAAGGTGCCATCCTTCTGAAAGACCAGCGGCGTCTGGCCGCTTTTATGGGAAATGGAGAGCTTGTCTTCGCTTACTTCGCCCAGCCGCCAGAACCTTTCGTGAATAATGGTGTATAACAAATAAGATGGTTTAGGGTTTAGGGTTTAGGGTTTAGGGTTTAGGGTTTAGGGTTTAGGGTTTAGGGTTTAGGGTTTTGGTTTCCTTACTATGGCACCTTCAATTAAACTATGAAGTTTCTAACAAAGAGCGCAGGAACTTGCCGAACTGGATGAAACGATCTCCGATCTTCACCTCCTGCAGGTCCCCCGCAGGCACATACCCGGACTCGCGATCGTCCCAACCATTATGGTCTTGGCGAGGCCCTGCGGAATAGGTCCCATCCGACTTGAATCTCCTCGTGTGGCAGCTCACATGCGCTGTGCGCTTCGACCAGGCTACGCAAGTCAAGCCGTGTGCGCATAGTTTTCTTCATAACTGGTACTTCCAAAAGCTTTCCACGAGGCCACATCATTCCCTGCAAGTTCCTTGCCTAACACAGGACTCCACAAACCCTAAACCCCAAACCCTAAACCCCTAAACCCTGACTCCTAAACCTCACGATGCGCAGCCCGAGGCTCATGGCGGTTTGTCCGGAGCGGTGTGAGATGGAGAAGTACTCAGAGCTGATAGCCGCCAGGCGCCAGTCCCCGAATTGGATGAAGCCGGGACCTGCGGGCCAGTACCCTCAAGACACTTTTCGGGTTTAGGGTGTACCTTAACCTACCAAAACCTACTTGTTTGTAGGCTCCCTATAAATTCCCTACTAGGGTTTATAATCAGAACCTACAAAACAAGTAGGTTTTGGTAGGTGAAGGTAGGGTTTTGAGTGAAGCCTGAACCCTGTACCCAAAACCCTCAACGCCTCTACATCCTGAACCCTACAACTCTGAACCGTCTGCTCCAGTTTGCAACGCATCTCCTGCGGTGATCCCACTGCAGGATCCGAGATTTTCCCTTGGTGGCTCTTGGGCAGAGAGGGCTCAGAGCTTTCACTTCGAGACTGCGGCATGGAAGTGGCGCTCTTCGTAGCCCCGTAGTGCTTTATGATGCTTTATGGCTCACAATTTTTAGGGGTTTAGGCTTTAAGACCCAGCCAATGATACAACGAACCGAGACTTGCTCGGAGCCCGCAAAACAGGTGACAAGCTGCCGAGGGCGGTTCTTACGAGCAGGGTCCTTGTCAGGAGTCGCCATCACGAGGATCGCAATTACAAACCAGAGCGGTTTAGGGTTTAGGGTTTAGGGTTTAGGGTTTAGGGTTTAGGGGAGGTGCTCTCTGAAACTCCCATAGAAAGCCAAGCTTCTGGATGTTGCCACAGTGCCACTGTGTGTTCCGACGGTTCAGGGCGGGCGACCAATCGCGTCGGCGCCGGCCTGCATGGACGGTGCCATCTGATTTCCAGGCCTTGGACACGGCGATCATCTACATCGCTATATACTAATATTGGTTAATATTCATTAATTTTGATGAGTAGCAATTAATATCAAAACACGCTAGTTTTTAAACATGTGGGACTCCGGACGGTGGGCCATCACGAAGGCAACAACATGTCACGCTCAATGACAAGGCTGGCTAGTGTCCACGGAATGCAGAGCCTGCCAACACCATGATATACCGTTTAGACTCCAGGTATAGTCTGGCCCTAAACCCTAAACCCTCAACCCGTTGGAATTTAGGATGTCTTGTGGGCTCAAGTCGGAACCTGGCGACCTCCACGGTCTTGCCATCACCGTCGTCCGTGTGGGTCACGAAGAGCCATACGCCGCTATCGTCTGCGACTCCGATGCGGAACTTACCAAGTTGCAAGTACCTGTTTCCGTACCTAGGTCGGCATCAAAACGATCCAACCGCGGTGGCACACTCTTGGCAGGTATTCGCTAGTACGAGTAGTGGATACAATTTCTAAACCCTAAACCCTAAACCCTAAACCCTAAATGCCCCCAAAAAATACGGCCAGGATGCCCGACGCCTGCCGGAGGGCCTGCGGTGACGGCCTTGTTGCCTTTCCAGGCATTCCAGTGCGTCTGGGGTCCGGTCACCGTGGTCGCATCGTGTTTCCAGATCTTCGGAGTCTGGCCGTTCCTTGCAAGGGTTTAGGGTTTAGGGT